TTCACTTTCCCAGATTCTCTCCTGAGGAAACTTCTAGAGCCAGAGAGAATAACAGTGCTAGGTGGTAACTTTAGAATTTAAAACTATTTTAAAATTCTATGATGTCACTGGGGAACAGGGTAAATTCTTAGAAACCAACCTTATATTTGAGGTCTATGCACGGTAACTGCAATCTGCTGATTGTGGGAGTTGACCATACACAGATCTCTTACACTCCTACTCAGGGTATTTCCCTATTTTTCTACGTCCCTCATATCTCCCTTCTCCTTATCTGTGGTAAACTGTGAAGGAATTCACACCCCAGGTTTATGCTAATATGAACTCTTTCCAGAAGGTCAGAAAATTTGTCTCAGTAAGTCTTATCCACATTGTTAACTCTCCTAGATGAGTCTACAAATTAAAGTGTTTTTTTTTAAACAGTGAATCAGTTAAACTAGCAATGAATTTATTTTCTAAAAGATAAGAAGTGAAATAAAAATGTTTCCTAAACAGACACTAAATCAAACTGAACTAAACCTTATAGGATCTAGTTTAAACCTGACTGTAAGGTTTTAAGTCTCAATTTTAATTGATTCTTGTTGCATGAACTGATGACTTCATTTCTTTCCTTCATATCTGAGAAATCACAGTAGGGAAAGGAGACTCACTACACCCTGTCGCAAAAAAGATTTTCAAGTTGAGAACGGCCTGGTCACTGGAATAGCTCAAGGTACAGCAATGACTCTGAGAAAGCCCAAGCTACTATGAAGAGAGCAGATGCTAATATTGCTCCCTGCTCCCCACCCCAAAGGGGAAGCCACAGGAAAAGGGAACACTCACCTATAGGCACTGGCCTAAACCCTTCTTTGCCCTCGGTCTCCTCACCCCTTTAGTTATGTCCCTACATGGGTTCTGTAGCTCCATATTCCAGAAACAGAATGGGGTTCAGACCTGGAACCATGTCCCTTACTTTCTTGCAGAGGAGACACTTCACAATAAAATGCATTATTTAATCATTCATAAGTAGAATTTAAAATGTATTATTTGGATGATGCATGATTAATTACATGCTTGTCCAATTACTCCCTACTAGTAAATTGGTGGGCTATTAGGAAGCATCCTCACTTTTAAGCCTCTAAAAGCCTATTTTTGGTTATAGCTTGTTAGGAAAAGACCCAATTTTTACAACAAGTACAAGTCACTGTTTAGTCTTTTAGTCTGAGATACTGAACTGTCTTTTGATCTGAAGGCTCACAGGCCTCATTATAAAACAAACCTGCTCCTGGGTAACTTACATTAAGCACTCAGAGGGTGCGCCATAAAAATACGTAAAGAATAGAACTTTATCAAATAAAAGCACAATCTACACCTAGACCACATTAGACATGCGATATTGACACAAAAGGATCCACATTGTGTCTACATAGGACTCACAAAGATAATAACAGTAAAACAAAAGAAAAAAAAAGTCTGATTTTTTATCAGAAATACAATTTTAAATTGAATATTGATGAAATATTTCCAGAAACATTTTATAAATTGATCACCACCCAGCAAGCATTATCTTTAGTTCATTCTTTGTTGTTGTGTTTTGTTGTTTTTTAAGCATGCTCCACGCCCAGTGTGGAGCCCAACAGAGGGCTTGAACTCAAAATCCTAAAATAAAGACCTGAGCTGAGATCAAGAGTCAGATGCTCAACGGACTGAACCATCCCGGCACCCCTCTTCAGTTCATTCTTAACAATGATCTCAAAATTTGTATCCATCAGCCTTTGTGGAAGAGCTAGCTGTGACATGAATAACCACGAAGGCTCTCTTTAAAATATCTGCTCAGTTAAATTCAGGGCAAGGTCATATCATTTAAGATACACAGGTCTGCTGATAAAGTCTTAAAATCATACCAAAAAAAAAAAAAAAAGCACAGAACAATAATTGCAATACTTTTCCCATTTCACAGATGAGGAAATGGACAGAAAGGATAAGTGGTCCATTACCACCCTAACTGCGTGGGAGCTCCTCTGATCTTGGAAGCTAAGCAGGGTCGGGCCTGCTTAGCAATGGGATGGGAGAAAGCACAAGGGATTTGCCCCATTGTAATAACTGAAACTGTGAGAAATGTAAACATTCATATTCCGAATTAAATATTCAGTATTAAAATGTTGATATGTATTGGTTGTTGAAGAAAAATATTTCTTAATATATAAACTTTAAAAAAAAACAAATAATATAAGTATATACTATTATTGGTGACAGTTTTTGCCTTAACATCTACAAAAGCTATCTCCAAAATATGGTCTATTGTATTTGAATCAATTTCCTTCTAATAACCAACGTATTTTAGGTAAATAGAAATTAAAACATGACATTTTTATTAAATAAGCTCTAAAACATACACCATAGAATTTCTCAAAATCTACCTCTGTATTTTGATAAAATACAAATAGTAAATAAGAAACTCCAGGAAGATTTCAAATAATCTTCAATTTAAAATTTTTGTCTAGAATGTTATGAAACTAACTGAAGTATGATATGTGGGGGCTGTCTATGCTTGCAAGATGGGTTATTCACAGATCTTACTGTACTGTGGTGGAGTCAAATTATATCAGTTTCAAAGAACCTTCATAAGCACTTTAAACCGCTGCCTTTTTTATTGCTTTTAGGCCTCAACTACCCTAACGTTGGGGTCTGCTAGGAAAAATAAGAAAAGCAACTTAGAAATTCAGTTTATTTTTTAGGTGGGGAGCATATGTTTACATTTATAGACTGGTGATTTAAATCAAGTTTTCTTGATTAGTGATTTTTAAAAAATCCTCCTACAACTGGTATTTATTTGGTGGAAACCAACGAGACCAAAAACTTCTTCCAGTACGGTTTGCTACACCTTAGGACATATATTCCCAAGTTCAAGTGAAAATGAATTCAGCAGGACACCCACAAATTAGAAGGATGACATTTTCTGTGTTACCCATTAGCAGATAGATACATACATACATCCTATGAAAGAAGTAAAAGTATGGGCCAGGATTTATGAAACATTTGTAAAGTATTATTTCAACACTTTTCCCGTGCTTCATGAAAGTCTCCTGTTATTAACGACCATTTCACAATCTGAAAACTAAATGAGATGTACTAATACTGGTGTATGTTTTCACAGCAGCGACTGCCACAAAGCTTTCACACGCATAATTATCTTCAGAGTTAAGATTAGTGGCAAACATCTTATTTTCAGAGAATTACAGAAGAGAGAATATAAGTGTTTGTTTATAGTCCTACAACTTGCTAAAAGCAATTAGCCGTGATCAGTAATGCATTTCTAATCCATACTCCTAAAGTCAGACTTTGTCTCCTGTATAAATTTTAAATGTCATAGGGATTTTGAAATTAATAGTGTTTTTAAAAAAAATTATGACATATTGTTTAAACATAATTTTGAAATATACAAAGAAATGAACATTAAGGAAATTTGTCCCTTTAAAGAAAACTGTATTTAATTATTAAAAATAACCAATCACAAAAAATATTTTCAAAGTATTTTAAGTGTAATAGAGAATATGATGCTGGTGGACATTTGAGTTTTACTTTTTAAAAATTATATTCTTTTAAATCTAAAAGAGTGAAAAAACAATGCCCCAAAATCTTAGCCCAGAATCCTTCAAATCTTCATATTTCATCAATGCCATGCTGTTATAGTAGTTTTTGTAAAGACTAGAAACAAACTTTTCAATATGAAAAAGAATTATTATTTAAAAATGAAATAACCACTTTTTTCCCCTCCCAGTGAATTATAAAAGATTGAGATGGTCACTAGTTGATTCTAAGATGTTTTAAGATATAATTATCAGCAAGTGAAGTATCACATATCATATAATTTAAATAAAGGGAAAAAATTATGTGAAGTACCCAGTAAGGCAAAAATAGATGGTTTTGTAACAAACTTCATTTTTTGGCTAACACGACATTAGTTTTAAATTTTGTATATTAAAGAATACTATGGCACCGTATTAACTACAGAATCAATCTGTGAATCTGACTGAAAACAGACAACACAAAAATGATGTTAAAACTTGAACAGTTTCCCTCGAAACATCCCTCAGAACGCTAACTGGTAACATGTGTAAGTGTCTTCCATAAAACATTCATAGGAGTGTGAAGTATTTCTTTGAGAAGCCCCAGGGAATGTCTATGTCAGTCTCTATACCAGAAGGGTTTCCTAAATCATCTAACGCCATCATTTTGGTTCTGCTTTCAGTCAGCGATTGATCCCTTAGCTATAGACGGAAGACTGCCAGAGAACACCTGAGATTTGTGGAAGAAGATGTGCCTGGGTCCTTTTAAAGAGTAAGTTATTTCACTGTTCTCTCAACACCTCCGGTTACAATTTGTTTCGTGAATGATAAAAAACAGTTGACATTAAAATAATGTACTTCAAAATAAGGAGCTTCTCCAGCAATAGGATTCCTACAACTCAGTTCAGCATCTTGCCTGGTTATGTTTTCAGATGATAATTTAACAAATTTAATTTTACATTTCATCCCCCAACCTTGAAAAGGAAAAACAGAAAAACTTTAGCTTCTTCCTGACAGATCACTAATTTTTTTTTTAATTTTATTTCTCCTAGAACTGACACTATTTTTCCCAAGAAAATAGTGAGCTATCCTTAGACCCAAGTGAATTCGATTCTTAGGGTAAAACAAGAGCACAGCCAAATACTAACGATATAATTGTCATCATCATCATCTCGCAAATTTTGGACACATCAACACATTTCAACAAAACGCAATCAGAGTGAGGCGACTCACCTAATCAACGGAAGCTAACAAGTAGAATTTAGAAATGCAGCCTTCTGAACACCAGCAGAGGTAAAGGCCCCTTCTTCACCTAACAACTGACCTTATATAAAAGCAGCGAATAGGTTACTCCCAGTTTCTGCCTCCTTACCTTAGGCTCCTCCCCAAATACCAAGGCATACAGTACCACAACCACACACCCACTTTCCACCCCCTGCACTGAGGGACCAGGACTTTGTGTTTAGGCTACCTGCCTCTCCCTACCTCAGCGAGAGGACACAGAGCGGGCAGTGAGGCGCGGCACGTGTAGGAACCCCCAGCCCGGTAATGCCACCTTTCCAAACACGGGGGTGGGGCGGGGGACGCACGCATTCTCCATCCCCTATAACCCCAGGGAATCCGGCCCACATCCCAGCCTCTTCACTCGGCTCACGGCCAGCTCAGCGCTCAAGGGCACCGGGGTTAGGTGACCTCGAACGCGCCCCTCGCTTATCTGTCACCGCGACCCCCAGTGACCGCCTCCAGAGCTCTGGAGACCGAGAAGGAGACTCTACGGCGGCGGGACGGACAGGCACCGGAGCCCGCGTTTCGGTCCCAAAGTTCCCCTCGAGCGCCTCCCGGACGCCTGCGCACCTCCGCCGGGGACTCGGAGGTTCCCGGTTCTCTCGGACCCCGACCCAGGCGCTCCCTCGAGGGGGCCTGTCCCGGGAGCGCCGGACGCACGACCGGCGCCTCCCGGTGCGCGGCCGCCGCTCCCTGTGGCGCGTCTCGCGCGCAGCCCCTGCCCTCCGCGGCCCGGCTGGCTCGCTCTGTACCGGGACTTCTCAGCACGCCCGCGACCCTCACCCGGACCTGTCCGTGCCCGTCCCCTCCGACCTCGACGCCGCAGCCCCGGCCCTCCTCGGGCCCCGACCCCTCGGCGCTTCCCCGCCCTCCAGGCCCCCAGCGCCGCCCGCACCCCGACACTGACCTGCGGCTGC